TTATGAAATTAATTTTTATTTTTTTTATGTAAAATCATCTTTTTGTAGAAAATTAAAAATATATTTTTTCAGCATTTTTTAATATAATTTTCCACTGATTTCTTGCAAATTATTAAAAAAAAGCTTCTGAAAAATGTAAGTTCAAATTTATTTAAATTTTTTGTTTTGTTTTGTAGACAATTTAAGTTTACAAATTTTGAAAGTAATTTTATTTCAAAAATTTTGATTTTTGTTGTATTATTTATATCTTTATTTCAATTATAATTTTTTTTTTCCAAATTCATATGGCTTCAACTAAAATGTTAATATAACTTATTTTGTAAAATATTATAATTCGAAATTTTCTGAATGTTTTTGTTTTTTTCAAACTATTTAATGTTTTGATAAAAAAATTATGAAATTCATTTTTATTTTTTTTTTATATAAAATCATCTTTTTGTAGAAAATTAAAAATATATTTTTTCAGAATTTTTAATATAAAATTAAAAATTTTTTTATTTCAATTAATAATAAGTTAATCTTAAAAATTTAGAAATGTCAGGTCGAATTCCCAATATATTGGGGATGTCATTAGAGTGGGTCGATGTTTTTTATAAATCGCGTTTGCGAAAAAAGTTCTAATGCCTAGCGGATTCAAAGCAGCCTTATTATGGGAAGTTTAAAAAATCTAAATAATCGGTTGTAAGAATGATATATGTTTTAGTTGCACAATCTGACCGATTCCGACCTATTAAATTTCATACAGATAACTCAAAAACTGACGAAGAAACTTTATATTACTTGAAAAACTTCGTTTTAAAATTTTACTGCTCGAAGTCGATTTTGGATCCGTAGTCTCTTAGAAAAAGTTGCTCACGATCGATGGTTCATAGAACATTTCCTGTATATGCGATTTTGCCGTTTTTTGTCTCCTGTAAATCGATCCGCTCTAATGTGTATGTTAAGAAAATCTAAAATTGGTGTTTAACTTTCATTTCTTTGCCGTCTAACTTTAATCAAGAATTATTTTTTTCACTAAAGAGTCTAAATCACTAGACTCCGAGGCAATATTTGGTCTTTGCCTTCTCTTTCGACATCGGCTTCTCGGTTCAATTTGGCGTTCAAATCCCATTAAGTCGCCAACAGATAGTTTATATCTTAAGATTCAATCATAACATGATATAATCTAATATTTTAAGATTAAACTCTCTCTAATCCGTAGATTTTCGCTTGAGTAGCCTAAAAATTCATTCATTCGTTTCGCCAGCGAAGGTTCATTGAATTTTCAAACCTCTCATTAAATACAATATTTCGTTGCTTTCGAAGGAGTACTAAAAAGAGTATTTTATTATATGCTTGTCAGTGCCATCTATTCTATTCCTAGTGAAGCAATGAACCGTGAACGCGACATCTGTCGTATAAAATTGTTAGCTGCACTGCTAGTTTAACATGACAGATGGCGCTATTGTTTGCTTCAAAAAACGCTGGACTTTATAACAACAAACTCTCTTGACGTTTTATTATTATGATTGAAAAAAACTTCACTCAGCAGTTCCGCAGTCATTTCCTG